AGATGGCTTCCTCAAGTGACAAGGACTTAGTCGGAGCCACCTCATAGAACCAGAAATAAAATAACCAGACCATAGTTTAACTAAGGCTGCTTGAATATGTATAACTCTTGCCCTTGCCCAATTCTTCCTCTGTTTAAACCTAAAGTTCATGTGAGCATCAGGAAGCATGTGACTCTGCCTTCCCAATATGGTCATTTGATTAAAGTTTCTTTCTTTCTTTTTTTTTTTTTATCATTACCTTTTCTGTTTGGTTTTTGGATCTTGGAATTCCTGGAGTCAGGTATCTCTCCTAGGGCTCTGGTAATAAGATGAACCTTCTTTGTCAGATGTGCAAACCCTCTAGCTATACAAACCCCACTTTCTTGCCCTTTTTTTTCTTTTTTTGTTAGTAGGGTGCCATACCACTGAGCTACACCCCCAGCACTTTTTATTTTTTGAGACAGAGTCTTACAACATTTGCCCAGGCTGGCCTAGAACTTGTGATCCTCTTGCCTTAGTCTATTGAATCATTGGGATTATAGGCATGAGCCACCATGTCTGGCCTTCGTTCCCCTTTCTATAAAACCCTGAATTAACTGTCATCCCCTTAAAGGTAGGGCTAAGGATGTGGGTCCTCTTGTCTTCCCAGTGCACTTACACTGATTCAAGTTCCTCTCCTCTGTTTGGTTTGTGGGGCAGGTGGCTAAACCTGATTTGCTGGGACCCTCAACCCTCTAGCCTAGGACTCCAGTAGCAGCCTCAGATAAAGGCTCATGGTCAAGGGTCCATATCAGACAAATTGGATTGTTCCAGCTCATCTACCCATATGTTGCATTTGGAACCTCAAAGGCCAGCCTACCCCCACCCACCCACCCAGAGCACAGTACTGACTTCCTTCCTCTAAAGAAAGAGGACTGGTAAGCAAATAAGGAAGGAACCCAATCCTATGGTAGATGGCAACCTGCTCTGCTGGTCACCAGCATAGCCATCAGCATGGATGATTAACTGCAAGCTGGGGGATCCAATCTAGATGAACAAGTCCAGGCAGAAAGCTCTGCAGAAAGTTCCTTGATGACCTGGACATCAAAGCAGATTGAGCACTAGACCCAGACGACAGGGATCTCCCCAGTAGCAGCTGCCACACTGCTGTGCTGCCCACTCCTGAGCCACAGCTGCCATGAGAACCCACACCCTTTCACTAGGGCAGAATGTCTTTCCAGTTATTCTGCATACCTAAGAGCAACCAACCCCCTCTTTAAGTCTGGTCTACGTCCAGATGTAGTCTTTTACCCTTCAAAACTCCTCCTCCCTACAGGAGCCTATGATCCCAGTTACTCAGGAGGGGATTGCCAGTTCAAGAAAAGTCTGGGCAACTTGGCGAGACCCTGTCTCAAAAATAAAAAAGAAAAAAAATTAAAAGAGCTAAAAAGGCTGGGATGTAGCTCAGTGATAGAGCATCCCAGTTTCAATCCCCAGTACAGAACAAACAACAAAACAATAACAAAAAACTCTCTCCCTCCAAAGCTCACAAAATTCAAGGAAGTCCATTTGTAATACTGATAGTGGAGGGTAATTTAAATAAAACACTTCTTCCTTTTCTTTGGCCCCCTCCATTTCCTTCTTTCTTTATTTCTGCAGTGCTAAGGGTGGAACCCAGGGCCTCAGGCATGCCAGGCAGGCTGGTGCTCTACCACTGAGACACACCCCAGCTCTTCCTCTTTTTCTTAGTTGGTGTGTCTTTTTCAGAAAAGATTATAGGCACAACACCCATAAAGCCAAGCAAGCAATCAATTTTCAGGCAGAAACACTTCCAGAAATGGTTGCTTGAGATTCACTGAGATGGCCTTTTATTTAAAACATTACCATTTAGACCAACAGAGGTAGACAGAGAAAAAAGTGTGTGTGTGGGGGGGGGGGGGAGATAGAGTTGCAGGTAGAGAGTTGTGGGAATCTGCCAGGGTAGTTCTTGGGTAAAAATTCCACCAATGGAGTCCTCTCTCACACACATCATTAGCTGTAACTTCAGAGGCCTGTCTGCCTCCTAAGGTCTAGCAAGAGAGGAGTCCACAGAAAGGCATGGTGGCTGGGGTAGGTCAGTGGTAGAGTATTTACCTAGCATGTCCCAGGCCCTGATGATCTCCAGCAAAAAAAAAAAAAAAAGAAAGACTACAGGTCATGGTCATTCTCTCTGCCGCTCACCCCTGAATGTCTAATAGGCATGAAGGTGTGCAGGTAAGTAGGTTGCATTTAAATAGCAGAACAGAGAGAAGCCTTGGAGGTTGACAATGTGGTGCAATGGTTATAATTAGGGCCCTGGAGTCTGAATCCCTCAGTTGTGGCCCTGGGCAAATTATCTAACCCCTTTTTATCTGTTTCATCTGAAGAATGATGATGCTAATCTAATCTCTGATTACTATAAAGCCTAAATAAGTTAACTAATAAACATATATAGCATTGTGAGGTGGAAGTTGCCTATAGTTCCAGCTACTCAGGAGGTTAAGGCAGGAGGATCACCTGAGCACAGGATTCAAGACCAGCCAGGACAACATAGAGACCTCAACTCAAAACAAAAACAAAAACTTACAAATATATCCTCTGTGTATCAGGTACTCTGTATGTTATGGTTGGTTACATCCCCCACCCTTTGAGCCTCAGTTAGCTGTCTTCGTTAGATCTATCAGTGGCTTTAAACAAGGATACATGTGACCTCTGGGAGTGACCAGCCAGGTGGGCTAGCCAAGGAGCTGTTAATTGTGGAGACCAGATGAGATGAGCAGGGGTAGACATATCAGCTGGCCTCAGGGGTACTGCAGAACTGTGCTGTCCTTCACAGCTGCAACCTGACCAGAGATGCTACCGCAGAATGTGCTTCCAGCAGCCACTGTTCTACATCCCGGCTCCTTGCAGACTGACTTCAGAGCCAGCACTCTTGGTATTACCACCATGATTCACTCAGTCCCTGAGTAAGAAGGCTGCCTGTCCTTGAAAACTGATGGTTACAGACTCCCATTTGGTCACCAACCCCTCCACCTTGCTAGAAAGAGGACAGAAGGGAATATCATTCATTGCCTTTCACAAGGCTGAGAATGCTGGCCTAGAAGGCTCCATCATCAAACCTCCATCCTCCTCCTGGTCCTCATCCTTCCTTCAAAGTCCAAAGGCCTGGGTGTGGCTGGGGCTCCTTGCAAGGCCCATTTATACTCATTTGCAAATAAGTGTTCCTCCCCAGGCATTCCTTGCACAGCCTGGACTCCTGTGGGAAAACCATGCCCTTATTCATCCTTCAGAGAGCCCCAATAGTCTGGCCTTCTTTGCCAGTCCTATCCTACTGCAGATCAATTAATTATAGGAACATGTCCCCGCAGTCTTAGGTCTCCATTCCTGAGGCAGCACTTTGTTCCTCAGGAAAACAATCCCAAGTGAGATGCCTGCTTTTTTCTTTCTTTTTTTTTTTTTTTTTTAGATTTTACAACTTTATTTTTTTATGTGGTGCTAAGGATCAAAACCAGTGCCTCACACATGCTAGGCAAGTGCTCTACCACTGAGCCACAACCCCAGCCCAAGATGGCTGCTTTTAAACTTCAGCTATTAAGTGCTGACCCTACTCCCATTCCATCCCTGGTCAGGAGGGACAGAAGAGGCAAGGACAACACTTGGTTGCAGGTAAGGCTTGGCATGCGTCATCTTCCCAAGAAGGTCCCCCTCACTAGAGTTTGGTGCTCACTCTCTCTCCTATTTACCCTTGGCTGCCAGACCACATTCTCTTCCAGACAAAATCATGGCTGACTCCCAGGGAATGTCAGGCAGTCTTCAAGGTCTGTCCCAAGATGGCAAAGCCCCAGCGCAGGAAGCCCTCCCCATCTCAGAGCCTGCCAAGTGCCCTGACCGGGTGGAGATGGAATGTGGAAAAACCATATCCTTTTTGCAGCTTCCACTAGCTCTCTTCCATAGCAGGTCAGCTGAGCTACTACTGGCTTTGAAGATGTCTCAGAAGATTGGTCAAGTGTAGCCATGAGATAAGTCAGGGGCTCTGGGATGGATCCCCAGGTCTACCACATGAAAGCTAATCCCGGCCAAGAAGGCGCAGAGCTACAGAGCCCTTCCCTGTGTTCCTCAGTCTATCCCCTCACGGCCATCTCTGGTCCTATCCTGACCCCAGCACCAGCTGCACATTCATATTTGTTGAATGAGTGAATGAATGAATGAATGAATAAACCCTTGCTAGCCCAGCTCCTTGGTGGGTGAGAGTTTCAGGACTCTCTGGGGTTTCCAAGCGGCCCTGTGGGCTGCCACTCCAGCCACGTTTGTGGAGCCATGGAGCTCTGAACTCTGAGGCACCAACAAGTATAGGGGAAGTGCTCTGGACTGGAGTACAAGGTCTGCATCTGTGCTGGGGTTCCGGATCGGCCACAGAGCAGGTGTGAGGCAAGAGCCTGTCCTTCCTGTTAGCTTTCTCATCTCTAGAGATGGCCGGGGCTGAACAGTCCACGGAACCCTGGCGGAGGTGTCTGTGGCCTCGCCTCTCCCCGCTCTCTCAAGCACCTGCGGGTGAGGGGCGCGGCCCGCCCGCCCCGCCGACGTCCACGTGAAGAGAAGACAACAAAGCCAGTACTGCCGCCCAAAGGGAGGACCATTGGGCCACAGAAGAGAACACGGGGTTCCGCTACCTTGTCCAGGACCCCTGCTGCGGGGCGGGCGGGCTACAGGGGACGCGCTCCCGCGTGTGCGGGCCGCCCACGAAGGGGCTGGGCAGAAACGAGGTTGGCGGCGGGGCGGACCCACGTCCGGGCTGGGGGCTCTCACCCGATGCCAGGCGCAGGGCGGCGGAGTGCTCCGGGAAACACTTTGAGGCATGCGCCTCTCCAGCCCTCCCCTGGTCCCGACCCAAGGCGCAGACACCCTGAGACCGAGCCGAGGACAGCGCGGGCGGCGTGCCCCAACCTGAGCTCGGTGGAGACCCCTTAGATGGCGCCGGGCCGGGGAACACAGGGCCGGGCGCCCAAGAGCCAAGGCATACTCACCACACAGACGCCGCGCGGGAATTCGGGCGCAGGGCGCGTCCGCACCAAGGCAAAGTCCCCAAAGCGCACGGAGAGAGTCCGGACGCGGGCCGGATGACCAGCTTCCGTCCCTCGCGCCCTCACGCGGCGCCCCGCCTCCGACCGCGCCGCCCCGCCTCCGACGCGCCTCCGGCTTCCCGCCTCCCGCCTGCCTCTGGGGAAACTGAACACCGACCAGGCTGGGAGTGAGCGAGAAAGGGGAATCCCGAGCCGGCTGGGGAGGTCTCCAAATCCGGGATTCTGTCCCGCCACAAGGGCTGCCACGGGCCTGACTCTGGCCCGGCACAAAAATTGGTAGCAATGAAAATGACATTGGCTTCACTCACCTCTTGTCAGGGTTGGCACCTTCAAACAATTGTTATAGCTGTCAAATTTGGCCACTTACTCCAACGTTGCCAGGACAATTCCTAAGGCTTCTGGTGAGGAACTGCTTTCGGAGTCCTCCCAGGCTATTTTGGGATAACCTCTGGGGTGGCAGTTCTCAGTTCTCAAGGAACCAGGGAGAAAGGAAAAGATGCAAAGCCCTGTGGGGTGCAGATAATCTAGTCCAGCCACTTGCCAGTCCCCTTGTCCAGATAGTTCCCACTTATGGGACAGGACTGTGGTGTGGCGCACCTCAAAGAACAACTGCGTGTAATGCCAACAAAAGAGAAACAGAAACAAACAAAAAGTTTCTGAAAAGAATGAGGAAGCAAATAGGACCAAGAAAGTTGCTGTATCAGACCGGGGAACACAGGAATAGAAAATGAATTTGGAAAAAAAAAAAAAGAATGAAAGGAAAAAAAACACATGGTTACATAGGGATAATAAAATCCCATAGGTTTTCTTCTTTGCCTTTGTGTTTTTTTCAATTTTTCTGAAAATTTTTGAGACATTCATTTCACAAGGAATAAAAACTATTATAGTAAGAATTATGTAATGAACTAATTTGTTAAATTTAGGCTGCAATTTGATTTCTTTTTCAGAATTGCATATCCACATAATTAAAGAATAAATAAAAGGGGCTGTGATTGTGACTCAATGGTAGAGTGCTCGCCTAGCACGTGCAAGGTTCTGGGTTCGAACCTCAGCACCACATAAAAATATAAATAAATAAAATGAAGGTATTGTGTTCAACTACAACTAAAAAATAATATTTTTAAAAGAAGAATAAGTAACAATATTTTTGTGACAATAAATATTTATTGCTTTAAGATACAAAGTTTAAAACAAAAGATATGAAGTTTTAGGGTAATTTGGAATATGGCAGGAAGTTAAACAATTCATGATAATGCTGCTTCTGAACATTTCTGTATTCTTCTCTCTTTTTTTTCTCCAGTGCTGCAGATCAATCCCAGAGCCTTGTATATGCCAAGTAAGTGCTCTGCCACTAAGCTTCATACCAGCCCCAATTTCTAGATTCTTAATGGTACTCATTTCTTGGTGTGTCACCATTGCTTGTTCTTAAAACAGTACATACGGGAATCATTCTATTCATCTCCAAGTCACAGAAGGCTGTATCAGCCCTGTAGCTAAAAGGATATTGGGTGGAATTGTCTGGTAATAGCAATTTTGAAGAGTAAGGATGAAAAATGTAAGCTGATTTTGACATCTTCTGGAAATCTTTAAGCAAGGTAGAAGACTTAGAATGATGCAGTAGAAAGCCAGTGCATGGCACATCAAGAGAATATTTTGGCCAGTGAGTTTCTTCTTTAGTGGATAGTTGGTGAAATTTCTTCAACAGTAACAATACTCTGAGTCTGTCATAATCTGGACAGTTATACCACTGTTAATGAGGTCCTTAAGTCCTTGCTGGTTTTGCTGATCCATGTGCTGAAAAAACTGTACTATATAAATAACCAGAGGCATATTAGGATGTTGACTCAAAAATTCTAATAGCCTTGGAACATTCCCAAAAAGGACTCCAGAAAAAGAACCAGGTGATCGAACAGCTGATGGATGGGCAAAAATGTCTTTCTGCAGTAAATTTTTCTATAAAATTCACTTCAACATTGGTAGTGTTTTTGCCAGAGTTACGCTAGATATTGTGGCTTGTGCCCCAATTGATTTTGTAAAGCAGACAGTTCTTTGTGAAGTTCTCTGGGGTCAAAGATGACTTAAAATTCCCAGGGTTCAATTCTCCTCCTCAGAATGTCATCACCAGTTGAAGGACCTTGATCTGAGAGAACTCGAAGCACATTCTCACGGACACCCAGCTCCTTCATGTAGCATAAATCTTGGGAGACCCCAGTGGTTGCTGCTGTCTCTTGATCTTGGAACATTTTCTTCAAGATAAAAGGCACAGGTTGGAATGTGCGGGGTGAAGGCACCTTGTCTATGCCCAGAAACTGGAGAAAGTCATGCTCCAGTGAAATTGAATTGTATGGCCCATGGCTACAGTTAACAGGAAGCCAAAAGCTAAAAAATGGCAGGGAAAGAAGCATGGCCTCTGAGGTGGGACCTAAATAACAATATTTTGAATGGGGTTATCTGCAAGGTTCCTGGAAGTCAAAGCAAAAAAAAGATTAATTTTACAGTTACACAAAGAAAGGATGAAGCACACAATTTTCACATTAAGAGTCCAACTTTAGGGCTGGGTTGTGGCTCAAAGGTAGAGTGCTCGCCTGGCATGCATGAGGCACTGGGTTCAATCCTCAGCACCACATAAAAATAAAGATATTGTGTCCACCTATAACTAAAAAATAAATATTAAAAAAAGAGCCCAATTTTATGGCTTAAATTTATGAAAGTCTTTTCCCCGCCAAACAGGGCCTCACACATGGTAGACAAATGGTGCTGCCACTGAGCCACATGCCTATCCCTCCCTTTTTTTTTTTTTTTAGCGAGAGAATTTTTTAATATTTATTTTTTAGTTTTCGGTGGACACACATCTTTATTTTATTTTTATGGTGTGCTGAGGATCGAACCCATCACCCTGCGCATGCCAGGCGAATGCGCTACCGCTTGAGCCACATCCCCAGCCCTATCCCTTTTTATCATTTAACTTTAAATGAAGCTTCTGGGTTTTGTGTGCAGTTTAAATTGACTGAAGTGTCAAAGAGACAATCTAGGAATGTTGAATGAAAGCAGGTTTATTCAAATACATTCATTTCCTCCCCAGGTGACTGGTGTGAAGGGGATAATACTCATTAGGATGTCTGAGCTCACAGAACAAATGATTTCATCAGTGATCCCAGCTCAACACTGTGTCCTCAAAAGAAGAAAGGTGGAGTGACAGGCACCTTTGTTCTGCACCTGGTATACCCGCACACATAAGCTAAAAATGACTTCTGGCCCAAGGTCTAGGCCTGTAAGTACATTACTAATACCATATGTGGACCACCCAGACTGAATTATGCTCCAGTAGTTGTCCTTGGGCCTTCATTGCATACTCTTGCTAAGAAGTTTAATTTCTAACAAATGCATATAACTAGTAATTCTTGCAGTCTCAACTCTCCTCTTATTCCTCTCATCACTTCCAGTTGTTGAACTTTGAATGATAAATTGCATACTCCTCTGCCCTCTAAAATAGGGCTCTGGGGCTAGAGTTGTAGCTCAGTGGTAAAGCATTTGCCTTGCATGTGTGAGGCACTGGTTTGATCCTCAGCACCACATAAAAATAAATAAAATAAAGGTATTGTGTCCATCTACAACTAAAAATATTTAAAAAAAGAATGGGAGGTCGGGGCTGGGGATGTGGCTCAAGTGGTAGCGCACTCTCCTGGCATGTGTGCGGCCTGGGTTCGAGTCTCAGCACCACATACAAACAAAGATGTTGTGTCCGCCGAAAACTAAAAAATAAATATTAAAAAATTCTCAAAAAAAAAATGGGGGGTAAGGGCTGGGGCTATAGCTCATTTAGTAGAGTGCTCACTTCCTGTGCACAAGGCCCTAGGTTCAATCCCCAGCACCACAAAAAAAAAAAAAAAAAAAAAAATTGGGCTCAGAATGTAATTTCTCTCTCTCTCCCCCTCTCTCCCCACCACCCTTTGGTACTGGGACTTGAACCCAGGGGTGCTTAACCACTGAGCCACATCCTCCAGCCCATTTTAATTAATTAATTAATTAAAATATTTTTTAAAATTGTTGATGGACTTTTATTTTCACTTATTTGTATGTGGTGCTGAGAATCGAACCCAGTGCCTCAAGCGCGCTACTGCTGAGCCACAACCCCAACCCCATTATTTTATTTTTTGAGACAACGTATCACTAAGTTGCTTAGGGCCTTGCTAAGTTGCTGAAGCTGGCTTTGAACTCGAGATCTTCCTACCTCAGCCTCCCCAGTTGCTGGGATTACAAGTGTACATCACAGCACCTAACACAATTTCTTTCTTTTTTTTTTTTTTTAAAGAAAGAGTGAGAGAGTGAGAGAGAGTGA